AAAATGTTCATGTCAACACAAGTTTCGAAACAAGTATTTACTTACTTATTGACTATCTCGTTGTTTGTATTTTGTTCTTCTCTTGTGTACTTCTCCTTTGTATTTGGAAATTGCCGATACTTGATGAGAATAAATCCATATCGAAACTCACTGATAAAATTTATTTTGATTTTCACTATAAAAGGTTTACAAAACCGCCAAACGTGTTTCGCTATACAATAGCTTTCACAAATCTTGCTTGATTGTATAGAGAAACACGTGTCGCGGTTTACGAAACCGCGACACGGTACTTTAGCGAACTTTATAATCGTTCAGAATTATGTGTTTCGACTAAACTATGAACGAATATAACTCTATAGTTGATTCATTCTACTGATCGAGATGATATTGCTTTCCCAGCCATTATTAAAAAAAAAACAGTATGAAACTTTTAAGTCACTGCTCTTTCAACATATTGACGCTCATGCTTGTTACATGATGAAAAGGCTTATTGGGTAAAATACTGTTCATTGAAAGCATTAAAATTTGGTGAAAACTTCAAAACAAATATTTATTTTGAAGTATTTTTTTTCAAGTTGTCAAGAATCTACAGAAAAATATTTTTTCTGAACAACCTGAGTTGTTCTTTTCTTTTCACTTCTTTTGAAAAGGCAAAACCAAAATGGTTGAGTGTTCTGTTTTAGTCTGTTTTAATAATAGAGCAAACAAAAATGAAGGGTTTTTGGGAGAAATTTCATAGGTACCTAAGTTAATAAAATATTCATATGTTTATGTTCCAGGCCACGAAAAGTTAAAGAATAAATAGTGTGTACCATATTCCCTCCAAGTTATAAATTATTTTTAATATTTTATACAATTAACTTTTAAGTTATATTTAATAACTTACAAATGCACACAATAAAATGCTTCAATAATAAATGTAGTATTTGAATCAATGAAATATTCACTGGTAGACTATTATTTTCTGTTCTATGAACAGAGACAAAGGTCCAATTTGGAACTGGTCCTTTGTTTAATCTTATACATAGTAATCCCAGATAGAAACCAGGTAAAATTAGAAAATATAAGGGATAGCCATTAACATATGAATAAATACAATGAAATACATAAAACAATATGAAGCAAATTTGGGTGGGTATTAGGTATCTATATAGGTATAATGGGAGGAAAAGTTTAGTCCACATACCATGGATTTCAGTTTTATAGTCTATTTCAAAAATAAGGTAGAGTACATTCTCAGAATATAAAGACCTCTTAGATGATAATCTATTGAAATATCTTCCAATGTATAAATTCATCCAAAATCACCTTAAATTGAATACAGGAAAATTGTGAGCCATTTGGAATTGATGGATACTTTTAGTGGAAATTGTATACCTTTTCGACAAATATCTATATTAAATTGTTATCTGCCATACAATGAATAAATAAAACTACAAATAACATTGAATGTAATTTAGAATAAAAAAATTGCCAAATTTTGCAAGTTATCATTTATATAGCAGAAATTGCAGTTAAAAGAGGTTGTTTTCCAACTTCAATTATGCTTTAATAAGGGTTGAGAACAAGGGTAATTTAATTTATTTCTCTGAAAGTGTTGTTGAAATTTGCGAATTATGTGAAAACACTCCTTTATTGTATATGTACAATAAACTCCTTTATTGTCAAATTATCTGTGAACGAGGTAACCAACTGCATATCCGAAATTTGCCCAATTCCTCGTATAGGCAGATGGGGCGACGACAAACCTGTTGTTTGTTGTATGCTTCAGGTTAGTTCGAGGAATGATACTCTGACGGAATTCGATTTTCAATTATCGGAAATCATTGACTTTATGTTGATGATATACACTACCTTGCACTGACGAGTGGCCAAACAGCCCGAAACCGGTCTGCAAGTGTGTTCCAATA